GCCCCTGCACGCGCCCCTCCCGACGGCGGGCGGACGGACAGTCGCCGGACGGCTCCCGACGGACGGCCGGTCGGCGCACGGCTCCCGACGGACGGCCGAACGGACGGCGCCGGCCGGACGGACGGAGCGAGCGGGCGGTGCCCGACGGACGGACGGCGGACACCCCCCCGACCGCCTTCACCTTCGCCCCGCCTCCTTTCGCGCTGCTCGCTCCCCCGTCAACCCGCCATGCTCGCTTCTCTCCGCCCTCCCTCCTCAGAAGGGTCATGGCTCCGCACGTCTCCTCTCCATCCTCCTTCCCCGTCCGGATCGATAGGGCGCACATGGTGCGCGTAGAACTAGAAAGTCTAGGGTTCGCTAGGGACTCGCTTCCCCTCCGGAACGACCAAAACCCTTCGGAATCCCATCTGGAACCCTCCGAAAAGTCTCCTGGAACCCTTTTGAAAAGGGTTTTCGGAGGGGTACTGGAATGTTCCAGTCGCCTCGGGGGGAAACCATTTCGCTTGCGCATACTGGATTTTCTTCGCGTGGAACCTTACGCTTGCCATTGACATTCGTTGATGTCTATATGGCCCAATTCCCTGAAGGGATGCGTGTGGGAATTGACGGTTTTCCCGTTTTCGCAAGGGCGCACGAGCCCAAAGGGCCCCCCAGCTGGGGTCTGGAGCCTTCTCACGACCAAAAAATATGCCCCAGAAGCTGCATCTATTCCAGGTAATGGTGCGGCCCTGGCCATGGTCCATCCTCGGAGTCTCAAGGTTGGGGTCCGCTGGGGGCCTCCGGAGGTCCAGAACAGAGGGCTAAGAAGTTCGCACCGCTTTCTTCCTCCCCCCCCTTCCCCTCCCTTCACTCCTCCTGTTCCGTCCTCGAACTCATCCATTTGCCTCCTCGGCCTCCTCCTCCCTCTGTTTTGACGTTGGCCAAACATGACGACTGCGCTTGTTGCGTTCTTCCTATGAAGACTGCGCTTGTTGCGTTCCTCCTCCTCCTCCTCCTCCTCCTCCTCCTCCTCCTCCTCCTCTTGCGTCGGCCTCCGTACCGCGAGGACGGCGGAGCTGGCAGGGAGGGCTGTCGGCAGCAGCAGGGGTAGCGTTGCTCCTTTCATCTCTCTGTCCTCCTCCCACTCCTCCTTCACCTCGTACCCTGGGACGGGCCGCCCCTCCCGCGCCGTGTCCCCCCTGCCCCCTCCTGCTCCTCTGATTGATGATCCAGGTCGTTGGGCCTCTCCTTTTTTCCGAGCGACTTCCCTGTCGCTCCGCACTTAGCCCACTCAGTCCTCCTTCACCTCGTCGCCCTCCTTGGTCCCTTCCTCCTCGACCCTCTTCTCCTCCTCGGCCTCCTCCTCATCCTCTTCATGTCAGACGATAGTCAGACTTTCGTAGCTTCGTGCAAATGGTTCTTATGGGTAAGGAAAACTAATGCCCTGGCCACGTGCAGCTCACAATAACATTGCGCAACAAAGTGCCAAAAGGCGAGAACAGAGACGATGCGAAGTAGAACACGTAGAGGCTCACAAGGGAGCTTAGCCGGGATGCCCTGACAGAGTAGGCACTCGCAAGGTTACCCCCACCTACCTCCACCAGCCTCGTCCCCGACGCCTCCCATGACAAGGGCCCTCACCGAGGGCACTCCGTGCCCTCGCCGAGGGCAGCTGGTAAGTACTCAAGCTGCTGGCACTCATCCTACTGAAACTGGTGCTTGTCTGATCTGATGCAACGAACGTGCGACAGCGGTGCATTTGTTTGTTGATAGGTGCCGGCAAGAATGACTTATGTGAAGTTCCACCACCACCACCATCACCACATTTTCTCCACTTCCACCCCCGCCTCCACACTGCCCTCACCGAGGGTCCTAGACAAGTCAAGCGCATGATTGGGCCTGTCGCTGCGTAAATCTGGCGTCGACACGTGCAGTACTGTAGCGTTGGTCGTCGACGCACACAGCGACCCCCTAACGCCACGATCCTTCCTCAGCCCGATTGCCATCGCCGAAGGCCCTGGCGGTCAACACGCCCGCAGCGGTCGGCTTGCTCGGTATGTTACTGTCCACCCGGGGACGATCAACGCTGGAGATGCAACTTCAATGCAAGCCCTGGCGGCCAGCAGAACATGCGAAAGTATGCCCTCAGCGAGGGCCTTACTGGTGTACCCCCTCCACATCTAACATCATGCACCTCCACCTCCTCGTTGGATGCCCTCACCGAGGGTCAGGGCTTGAATGTGCGACCTGAGTGATGCGTGCGCGGGTCATTGGTTGAAGTTGCAGCTTGGGTGATGCATGCGGCATGGATGCCCTCACCAAGACTCATCGATTGAACCTGTGGCCTGGAATTGCGAAGTCAGCGCATAATCTGTTTCCCCTCCATGCATCTAACGCAGCCACCCCCACCACCTTCCCCTGAATCGCTGCAAACAGAGCGTTGTGCTCCTTTGCATGGCACGTCCGGCAAGTCCTGCATGTAGCACGTACTGCGTTGTACGTGTACGGGAATGGTGCCAATTTCAAGCAGTGGTCTTGGTGGTCGCCCAGGCTTCCCTTGTTGACCTCGGCTCCTGCCCCTGGTTCTGCGCTGCCGTCTCGGCTCCGCTGAGAGAGCGCGTCATTCGCAAAATCGATCAGGCCAGCTTTGCAATTCGAGCAGAGCACCCGGCGAGGGCGTGCTGCCGCGTTTCCTTCCGTCCTTCTCCACCCTGAGATCCTCATACTTCTCCCGACCCTCCCAACGAGCATGTGCGGTCCTTGCCCAGGGACTACTGCACAGGGACGACGTGCGAATGCCCGCGGATAGAAGCAGGGCAAGCGCTAAGCGGGCGCAGGCGTGGACAAGGTTTGTTGCTGAATAGGCCTTCTCCTTGATCGTTAGTGCAATATGATCCTTCCCACCACCTCCCTAAGCAGACGGCTTGCGGAAGCTTATGCAGCAGCACGGCATGGGTTCATGTTGATGCTTGTCGCCCCGCCCTCACCCAGGGGCATGTTTGTGATGTTCCCACGCCTGCGCTACCATAAACGATCATTTCCTCCACGTCCACCTCCCCCGACAGAAAAGGTCAGCGCGCGGGAAATGGTGCCCGTGGGGGGCGTTTAATTGTTGATGGCAATAAGGTGGACATGAAGATATAGGAAGATGTGTAATGATGGAAAGACCTGGTGTCGAGAGCTCAAAAAGTCATGTAACGCCAGAGCATGACAAATTGTCCATCGCTCGTGTAGATCACGATCCATGAATTAATTCTCAACGTCTCCGGGTTCGTTGATTTCACCACACGCGGCAAAATATTCGTTCGGTAAATGGTGTACTGGCACAGTCAGATGCGATGGCCGCTTGTTTGAACTCATCGAACACTTGCTACCTTGATATGTGCCCGAATTCGATGTTGTCGTTCTTGACGCGCACCGCGGTGCTCTTTGTGATGATTCGCCAGCTCCCCGTCAGTGGATCCAAATCGCCAAGCGTACCCTCTGTGCAGTTGAGTGCCTTATTCTGCTGGCTGCGCACGTAGCGCACCTGTCTCCCAAATTGCGAGCTTAGCTGCCGTCCTTTTCACATGCTTTGTCGCTTCCACTCTGGCTTCGGTCTCGTGGTCTCGTGGTCTGCCTCGTCCTCTTTTGTGGCCACCGCCTTTTCATCCACATCATTTTTTGGCGTGCTGCTCTGTTGTCTGCTTCGCTGCGGCGTCGGGCACCGGCTCCGGTTGGGCGCTGCCGCCTCCGCTGGAGCGGCAAGCGCCCCGCCCACTGCGGGCGGAGCGCCTGCGGCGGCAACCTGCACCCTCCTCGCCAGCCGTTGCCAGCTCCGCTGGTGCCGCTGTCGCCTCCTCGAAGACGGCGACGCATGTCTGTGCCACAACAGTCCAAGTAAGAATCGTGTCAACATTCGCCACTTGAGCGTCAGGCTTGCCGTGCTTCAGAATCGTTGTATGTTGTGGAATCACTGCGGGCACGGCCGGCGGAGGAGGTGGCTCTGGCACTCGACGAGAAAGAAGTGGGGTGACGATTGGCGGGGCAGGACCTGCAACGCGTGCTCAATGACCTATGCAGCCTGAGGGGTAAATGTGGCGCTGTCCTATTCCACTGCCATCTAGACAGAAAGTTTGTGTTGAAAGCACGTCTCCCGTTCGGAAAACGTCAAGTAATTCTGTGATACGAGATTGAAGTCATCATTTGAAATGGTATTGTGATGAGTCTTTGCGGCGTACCACGTCTTTCTGAGTGCGTTCCGTAGGGGTCGCACTGTCGAGGAACGATTGGATGGATGGGTAGAATTAACACGACATGGAGCAACACAAGTTCGGTAAGGATTAGAAGGAACAACGTACTTACGCAGGGTGAAACATGTTCATCTTGAAGCGTCAGCGGCGACAAGTGGTTTGCGAGTCAGCGTCCGCGCCGCCAAACGCACGGCGTCAGGACAAGTTGTTTGCGACAGACCGGGGATGAGGAGAGACGCACTCATGAGGGGGGCGACCCGTGTGCGTACAGGGTTGATGGGGTCCGTGAGACAACGCGCGATCTATCTGTGGCAGTTCGTAACCAAGCCCTCCTTCCCATGTAGAATCTGAACAGCGACGGGCCTGGGTGCCGCGGATCAGATTTCTTTTGGATCTACTAACATCTAATGTATTTTCGCCCATTCCGCCACCGTGCCTGGGTTGTGGGTCTGAGGCCTCTTGGATGCTCGTTGGGAGCTCGTCGAGGACTCCCTGGAGCGTTGGGGCAGCTTCAAGGCCTCTGGGGGGGCTGTTTAGGGGCCTCTTTTGGGCCTCGTGGGGGCATATTTGGGGCCTCTTGGGACATCTTGGGGGCCTCTTGGGGCCTCTTGGGACCTCTTGGGGCCTCCTGGGCACCTCTTGGGGAGGGAGGCTCGTGTTTCCCCGCTAGGACCATCTTGGACCGTCTTGGGCGCCTCTTGGGCCTGGGCCGTCTGGGGCCCTCAAGGGGCGTTCGCGACCCCGACACCAAGGCGGATACGTTTTCAATGTATCGAAGACGCCTGCGGC